GGCCGTCTTCTTCAAGAACTTCAAGAACACGGCCACACAGCCCGGAAGACCCACACCAGCCAATTGGCTTTCTATTCATCTTAATAAAGCTTACATACTGCTACACAGTGACTGCCAACATATATACATAGTAAGCAAAGAGATGTGTGTTACATATGTAACAATAGGAATTAGAAGGCCTTACTCTTTAGTTGTCCTTTAACATCTCTGTCTTCACTTGAATGTTCTTCATAATGAGATTGGAGCTGATGAAATGACTGCAGGTCCTTCAGACACAGGGGACATAGAAAGCCCTCTCTCACCTCCCCAGGATCATCAAATGGAGGTGTGTAGCTTGTTGCCATAATGGTCCAAGGTCCCTGAGGTTATTGCGTTTCTCCAAATCTCAGGTGCTACAGAACACTGTATGCCATGAGTAAAGAACTGAACATACAGTGAGGAAATAGTTATTGCTCTTGTTTTTTCTGCAAAATATTCCCCTGAAAAAGATGCAAAGAGTAATTTTAAATGGAAGAAGCTATTTAATTTGGTAAATATATTTTCTCTGATATGTTAATACACTTTTAATGTTTTATTTCAGAAGACCAAGAGATAGGCAATGTGGTTCTCAGAGTCTCCAAGATGTCCCAGATGCCTCCTTTAAATACCTACTAGGATTCCTAAATAAATGTTTAATTAAAATTAAGTAAATATGAAGCTGGAGTGCTGCAAAACAATCTAACATCACATATGTTTTGAATGACGCCTTTTGCTCCCACACAGATCTCACTAAGATTATAGAAAGTATTACATGGGGATAGTTCATGTTCTGGTAAACAGACATTCTGTGGACTGTTGTGCTAATAATCGTGGCTATTTTGTGAGCCAAGCCTTAACAATCATGTTGCCTCCCACCACGTGATTTCAAAATTCCAAAGGTGTCCCAGCCCAAGAAGGTTCCATACCTCTGAAATAGACTCTGTTTCTGCTCTGGAGTATGTACACTAAATTGGTAAGGAAAAATACTCTTTTTATATGCCTCTGGAAGCCATCCTAAATTCTGCAGGACAGTCTTCCCCAAACTGACACCATCCACATATTTTAAACAGTAGGTTTCATGCTGTCAAATCATTGTCTATGCTGTCTGATTTGAAGGGTGCCAAACTGAAATAGCTGTTATAGGGCAAGCCTAAATTCAAAGAAACAGAAAACAATATTTCATTTAGATAAAAAGAGTAGGAATTAAAAAGAAGGCAATTTTAAAAGCATATGATATAAATCACTCAATCAACAAGTTAACTGAAATTAATGTAAGCAAATATGCATAGGATGCCATGTTATTTCATACTGTTGGTAAACATCCAGCATATCTGAATTACTCAATTAGGCCAGTGACTAAACAAGAAAAACAAAGCAATTAAAGTGAAAGAAATATGCAAGAATAATAAAAGGTTTCAAAACACAGAAAGAGGTGAGCACATAAGATATGTATAGCAAGATATTAATACACCACCAAAGTGTCCTTAATTTTTAGCTATACATCAGCTGAAAATAGATCTACCTATGCTTAGAGTAAACGCAGATCAATTAATTGCAGTTAATTATGACCAAGGCTCACTTACTGAATCATGATTAAAAACTCATTGTGATCTGGATCCAATCCAATCTTTAACCTATTTATTTAAATTATGCATTTTTTCTTCTTCTAACACACTCTTTATGATCGGTACATATCAAGCTGGCCATTCAAGTTCCATATAATAAGGCAAGAATTTCACTAAAATAACCTAAATATGAAAAAAGAAGATCCTCTAAATTATTTTTAAAGCTGACTTCTCAATGTTTTGCTTTTCACTATACAAAAATTATTTTATTTGATTTTCAAGAAAACTAAGATGTCAACATCCACAGTATCCTTTTTTGGTCTCCTAAACTAGATAGTCCTAAATTTGCTAAAATGCTCCTATATATTTAAGCCATAATATTTTTATATCGATATGCTGAATGCATTAAGTGAAAATTCTGATTCACACTGGTGGTTACGAGAACAGAATCTGGGATGTAACAAATTAATTCAAACTAAAAAGCTATTACTTTGAATATGAATGCTTAGAGAACTAAATGGCATTTTCAGTTGCTGATTCCATATGTTAAAGGAATCACCATTCTGACAAAACCGAAAGAGTAAAAAAGATCAAGGAGTTTACTCATATGATATACAATCGTATATAAAGATGTGGGCTTTCTGGAAAATTTTATTATGCCAATGGGAATAATTCAAATTAGGATATCTGTCACAATATCCATAGTTTGCGCAAATATTGGGCCTTTATTATTTTAGGTTAAAAAAAACCCCAAATGTAGGCTATTTTATTAGGGTTGCTAACAACTATACAGGTAGACCTCACCTAACAACTGCAATTGGGATTGGAATCTTGTTGAGCGAAGCAGTCGTTAAGTGAGATGCCCACATGACTGCTTCGCTCAACTACTGCAATCCGGACATTCCCAGTTGCGGTCATTAAGTGAACTCCCAGGTCATTAAGCGGATGGAGCGAAAGCGCTGTCTGCTGAAAGTTTTCAGCTCAGCGCAGAGCTGAAATCCTTCCAGAAAACAGCTCTTTGAGAGCGAAAGGGCTGCCTGATAGTTTCAACTCCACATCGAGCTGAAATCCCCCCAGCAGGCAGCCCTTTCATTCTCAAACATTCCTAAAGCCTGCCAAAGGGTTTGCCCTCCCCTCTGTGAACGGAGGGGAAATCCTTCCTGGAGCTGGAGGAACGGAGCTCAAATCTTCAGGATATGAGTTCCATTCCTGCATACTGCTGCATCCCCTCCGCTTGCAACTTTCCCTGCTGGCTTCTAATGGGGAAGTGGGCAGAGAAAATTCCAAATGGTGATCAAATAATCATAGGGTGCTTGGCAACCAGTTGTAAATGCAAGCCGATTGCCAAGTGCCTGAAATGCGGCCATGTGACTGGGGGGGGCGGGGTGAAGTTTTATGATGAAGTGTCGTAAAGCACCCCGAGGCTGTCGTAACTTCAAAGCGTCATTAAGCAAATGGCTGTTAAGCAAGGACTACCTGTATGTGGAGAAAAATTACTTTATTGGAATTTTAGAAACAAAGTTGGGCAACTGCATTGTACTTTTAGCTTCTCATTCTTCTAGAGCAATTGCCTGAAAAACAAAAATAGAACTTGGATACAGGTAGTCCTCGAGTTATAGCCATTCAAAGTTACAGCGATGCTGAACGAATAGTACTTCACCTGGTTCCCAAAGTTACAGCTGTTGTAGTGCCCCCCCAGTCATGTGATCAAAATTTAGGTGCTTGGCAGCCCACCCGCACTTACTATTGCAAGGGTAATTCAACTCCCCCCACCCATCTGCCCCCCTCTCTGCCCTTTTGTTCCCCAACACTCTGCAGCCCCTGCTGTCCTGTACTCTGTCACCCCCAGCTCACCTTCGCCATCTTCTTGCTCCCACTGCTAACCAAGCACAAGCCTGGTCTTTTGTGAGGCAGCTCCCGGCCACACAAGACCTTTTTGCCGAAGTCACACATGGCAGGCGGCTTCCTCATGAGACCTCGGCAAAAAGGCCTCATGTGGCCAGCAGCTGCCTTGAGAAGGGCCAGGCCAGGCGTGCTGGGTCAGCAGCGGGATAAGAAGACAGCAAAGGACAGCTGGGGGCAGCAGAGTGCAGAGTGGCAGGAGCCATGGAGTGCAGAGTGGCGAGGGCCGCTGTGGCTTTCTGCCATGCTGCTGGGCTGGGCTGGGCCAGACCAGGCCAGCTGGGGCTTCACACTGCAGTTCTGGGCTGAGGCAGCTGTAGCTCTGCACTGCAGCTCTGGGGCTTCTTACCACCCCGGAACTGCAGCATGCCAAGAAGCCTGAGCTGCAGCACAGCAAGCAGCCCCAGAGCCATGCAATTCTAGGACTGCTTGACACCCTGTCAGGCAGGGTGCAGGGTGGCTAAAAGGGCAGAGATGGTGGTCAGGGAATATGCAATTGGGGGGAGTTGAAGGGGAGGCAGTCTCTTACCTTGGAAGAACCAAGGCTTGGGGCTGGGAGGGACCAAGCAAGGAACGGTCTGGATCAGGGTGGGTCCTTGGTTAATGACTGGTAGGATTCAGTTAACAACAGCAATGGGAAATTCCAGGATTGCCACTGCTAAGTGATGCGGTCACGTGAGGTGGCACTTTATGAACACATCACTTAGCGATGGAAATTCCAGTCCCAATTGCCATTGTAACTGGAGGACTATGAGTGTGAACCTTGCCTGAAGTGGATAATTGTGACCTATGGAAAATTTTCCAGGCCAAATCACTGATCATACAAACTCATAATTCCTTGAAGTAACTTTGTAACTAGAATAATATGCCACAAGCAAGGAATATAAAGGAACAAGTTATATTATTATCTGGACAAGCAAGGCCTATAAGACAAAGATGGATGAAGTACCTAAAAAAGAGCCATGCTATTCTGTAATTTTTGCATCATTAACTGTCTCAACTTCCTGTGAGCATCACACATACAATCTACAGTGACTGATGCACAATTAATGCTCAGCACATCACTATGCTCATCTTCTATTACCAAGCTTTTTTTTTTTTTAATTACATAAGGTGTGAGCAGCCTTTGGATTCAGATGTCCTTTCGTGAAGCATCCAGATTCCCCTCCAAATGTGCTCTGAATTTCAATGATACAATATCTGTCCACTTGCAGATGATGGAGAAAAAAATGAAAACTGTAGTGTAAAACAAAATTAGCACTCTTAAAACAAGCAGATTTTTTTTTTATCAAGGTGGCTAATAATCTAAAATAGAACACAAGTAAGAAAGACAGAAAGAAATACAGTTAAAAACATTGAAGCAACCTCATTCCAGTCTTCAGTGTTGGCATCTTATCCAGGCCAGGAGTGGGTTTTCTACTAATTCACTGTCTAAATCTTGCACTGGCCTCTTCCAACTCCATGATTTGATTCTATGAACCAAGAGAGTTAAGGCATCCGATTCTGAGGCAAGAGCAAAAGTAGGCCGATTCCCTTTTCTTCAGGCAGGGTATTTCTACAGTCAACAACCACAAGATAGTTATTTGACAGAAGCCAGTTCCCCCGAATACAAGGATGGAGACTGCTTGTACTCTTATTCATCACTGTTTCTGCCACAGCTCCTGACCCCTGTCAGGAAAAGAAGTGGGAAGAACTGATACCCCTCTGTATTTTTTTATAAAATCGAAAAAGGGCGGAGAGGGCAGGACGAGGAGAAATGGAGACTCAGGCTTATGGGGAGGGAAGAGGCAGCCGGAACATCAATCATGGAAATCCTGAAAAGCAGGAATCTGTCTGGGGCGAAAGCCGGCTCTGGCTCCTTTACCCCCGGAATCCCGAAACCCGCAGGCCCGTGAACGCCGCCCACAGGCATCAGGATGGGGGGAAGCGCCAAGAATATGGCAGGGGGACAAAGCCCCAAGCAATGCCAGGCTCGGGGAAGGGCGAGACAGCGGCGGGAGCGGCGGGCGAAAGGGACCGCAGGAAGGGCAGCGAAGGGTCTCCCTCTCCGACTAGACCCCAGCGGCTCTATGCGCCCCCAAGGAGGGGAGCGAGGGGGCAACTCTCACCTCAGCCTCGCGGAGGCGGCGGCCCGAAGGCCGAGCGACCAAAACCCGCCTCGGATGCCCAGGAAGCGACAGGGCCCTCTTACAGGCAGCGGTCTATCGATCGCAGAAACGCCGATGCGAAGAAGGGCCGCTCAGCCTAGGCGGAGAAAGGGCTGGTGAAGAAGAGTACCGAACAATCGATAGGAGGCAAGCGGAGGGTGGGGCTGAGCGGGCCGCTCGCGCTCGCCCGGCTTCAGCTGGGGCTGTTCGGTGGGGAGAGGCGAGGTGGGGAGGCCTCAAAAATCCGGATGACCACTAGAGGGCGAGGCTGCAGTTTCCTGCAGCCCAGATTGGGAGCTGGGTCAGACCGACTTAAGTTTGGTAAAGTGTTCATTAGGTAAACTGAGGGCTCTCTAGAGCAGATTAGGAAGCTGAAAATACGTTATGGAAGGAGGCAGTGCCAAGCCACTCGGTAGCAGGAGTCGAGCTCGCTTTATCTTTCTAGCCCAGTCATTTTGGTTGATATTGGAAAGTTAAGTAGGCTCAGACCTGGCTAGTACTTTAGGGTGAGACCATCAGCAAATTCGGGGGCTATAAGGTTGACTGGAAAGGGGGGGAAATCCTTGGACAGATAGTGCCAGAACACCCGTTGTTGCTACAAAAAAACAAAACGAATGCGGCAGACAGGAGTTGAGTTTGACTGAGGAAAAGTTGGTTGACTTAGAAAAGCTTGGGCCTAAAATAAGGACAAATCAGATAAGACCTGGTGACATTTTGATGTCCTGGTCTACAGTTCTCATGCTCTGAAACAAGCTCAGAAAGTGGCTATGCAGGCCAGGAATCCAGCAAACTGTAGATAGTTTGGGCAAGGCTGTGATTCATAAAGCTGCAGGTGGAGAAAGGTGAAGGTTTTTCACAGCAACAGCAGCACATTTGTTGCACAAAAGTAGTGGTGGCCATAGACTTGAACAGCAAATTAGAGAAACCCACAAACCCAGGTCACACAACATGCTGAGCCACCATGGTGGTGTCTCTTGTTGACTTTACAAGTTGAGTGAACTCAGCCATTGTACTTTGTAAGCCACGCTTTTATCCCTATCATCATCATCATCATCCCTATGGAATACGCTCCCCCCTGAGATGAGGCAGGCCCCTACTCACTCAACCTTCTGGAAAGGGATAAAGACCTGGCTCTGCCAACTCACATGGAGCCAGAAGAGGAGCAACAACCCTGGGGATGGCTAGCACCTTGATGATGCTCCTGTAAGTTAATATCCTTATCTACCAACAGTACCTTGGGAGATATTTGTGTATGGATATGGTTTTTATTGTATTTTTATTGTATTTTAATTAATATTTATTATTGTTTTTACTGTAAACCGCCCAGAGTTGCTTCCTAGTGAGATGGGCGGTGACCAAATTTTAAATATAAATAAATATAAATAAATACTTTTATTAGCACAATCTGGAACCCAGCCAGTTGCCATTTGTTGTTGTTAGATTTTTATCCTGCTTTTTTTTTTTTTAATATTTGGTGAACTCAAGGCAGTGAACATAGGTATTACTCCTGCCTTCTACTTTCCCCACAACAACAGCCCTATGAGGTAGGTTGGGCTTACGGAGAATGACTGGCCCAAAGTCAGCCACCAGCTTTCATGCCTAAGGGAGACCTAGAACTCACCATCTCCTGGTTTCTAGGCCAGCACCTTAACCACTACACCAAACTGACTCATTTGTTAAAAAAATGTTTCGCCATCTATCTAATTTAATATCCACTGTGGATTAATTTGCCTTAATTCTGTGGAAAGAGAAATACACCCAACACATGTTCAGAAGGGAGATTGGCTGGATACAGAAACAAGTCAGATATATTCTGCCTTCTTGCCAGTAGATATCTGGGTGGAAATGCCTACCTTTGCCATTAATTAATGGGGAGCTAATAATTGTAGTATTCAAGGGGGTTGTGGAGGTTTCAGCTTGTCATAGCTCCAATAGAAACTGGGTTGTTACATTATTTTACATGTTTTTAGCTGGCACAGTTGCAAACAATGCAACAAAAATAACTTCTGAATTCATCCTCAGACATGATACAGGGAAAAGCCTCACATTAGCTTGGTGAAATTTTCAGTGGCTTATACCATTGAGAATTTACGCTCCTAAGGAGTGCTTGACTGGGGAGAATTAAGTATTAGTAAGCATCCCAATGAAGTGGATATTTGACTCATTTTCCCAAGGGGACTGAATGAAGTTATTAAAATGTAGCCAACTCAAATCTTTCATCCACATTATTAGTCAATATATAATGTGAAGTTCAGGCAGTTTAAAAAAATCAGGCACCCACTGTTTCAACAAAACATTCATTTTGCATTTTAGTTGTTGTTGTTGTTTAGTCGTTAAGTCGTGTCCGACTCTTCGTGACCCCATGAACCATATTGCGCCAGGCCTTCCTGTCCTTCACTGCCTCCCT